CGGGGAATATGCGGGGCCGGTAAAACGGGCTGCAAACGGTGCCGGAATTAGCAAGGCTAATTGCTTTAAATGATCTATTTTTATTATTTTTTTTCCTTCTTTTTTTTTTTTTTTAACCCTCCCCTGCATCTCTCCCCCGCCGGGGGCTGGGGGTGAGATTAAACCTGATTAAACTACCCCAAAACCCACCAGCAAACAACAGCAAAAGCGCGTCCCGTTTGTCTGCGGGGACCAACCCGCACCTTCAACCCAGCAGCTTTCCCGTCCTCTCCCCTCCAAAAAAGCCATCCTAGGCCCGTTTTGAATCTGAAAGTGCTTCTGGGACCTGGGCTGAGGATTTATAAGCAATAAAGCATCACCACCAACCCCTCTCCCGCCGTATTTTCTCTTTTCCCTCTGCCCCTCGAAGGCCGGCACCATCCATCCAGCCCCGCACACCATCATCATCCTCCCCCCCTCGGACATCAGACACCACACGGCCCTGCTTTTCCTCCCCAAAACTCTCCTTTCCTGGGTTTAAAACACTCCGACGTTTCTGCTACTCCCATGGCGAGGCCTGTAAAACCCGAGGAGATGTATTTCTATTTTAACGTTGGCTGGCTGTAATAAATACATCGGAAAACAAACATTCACACTCTGAAAAGAAACTGCGAGAGTGAGAAAGGACACTCGTGCGGGGGCTGATATTCTTTAAAGAGGGATGGTTTGATTTTTTGAGTTGTTTTCTTTTCTCGGAGATGTTTTATTTCCTTGGGGAACCGCTGCCGGTGGCCACGGTTTTGAACGTGGGTTTTTACACCAGCTCTTTGTAGGGTGTTTCGAGCTCCATCCCCGGGTGGGTTTGGGGCAGGTCGGGGAGATTGGGTGGCAGAGCGGTTTAAAGGAAAGAAAACCACCCTTTTTCCGCGGCCCGCGGGGGAGCATTCGATGCGGAGCAAAGCTCAGGCTCAGCGATGCGCTCCCCAGGAAAACATATAGAGAAATACAACCAGAAGCGGAGGGTTTATTCTACTCCAGCAGCCCCGGGGCTGTAAGAACCCGGGGAAGGTGATGGCCTCCCGAAAAAGCCATTTTTGGGGGTGTTTTTTCCCTCCTCCCTGAGCAAATGCGGTGCTCGGCGCTCCACTCGCCGCGGACGGGAGGGAGCAGCGGCACCGCTTCCCCGGGCAGCCCTTTCTCCTGCTCCTCAAGGGAAAAGCTCCCGAAATAACTGCTCTACCCCCCCCATCTCCACCTCCCACCCTCTCCCCGGGTACCTTCCCCCCTCCTGGGGTTTGCCCAAGGCTCTCCCTGCCCGTCCCCGTCCCCAAAACCCCCCCGGGAACAGGAGGGTCGGTGTTTTCTGCGGGAGGATTTATTTTGCGGAGAGGGGGGGCAGAAGATGGGAAGGGGAAGGAGAGGGCAGGGGAGAGAGGGGGAGAGGAGGGGGGAAAAAAAAGCCCCTGATGTGAAATCCCTCTTGGTTGTATCACAGATGTGACAGGCGCCCCAGAGGCTGCTCACAACTGCCCGCGAATAACGCGGGGAGAGTTTGGGAAACGCGATCGGTATCTATCCGTCTTTCGAAAGGTATTAAATTATCATTAAAAACTTGAAAAGAGAATCTGGAGGACAGGGGCTTGTTCACACACACACACACACCCCCGAATATCATGCAGCGAGACGGACCCACAGCATTGCGCCGCGGCCTGCACCGGCGGGGGGTCAGAGGGGGAAGGAAGCTTTTTTTCTTCTTCTTCTTCTTCTTCTTCTTTTTTTTTTTCCCCTTCCTTTCTCTCTTCTTCTCCCCAATCTTGAAAGTCAGCAGGCTGCAGTAGCCAGCACATCTTGCTCCTCTCCCAGCCAGCAGCCCTGAAAGCCCAGGCTCCTGCAGCCGTGCCACCCCCCTCCCCCCCAATCCACCCACCCCTCCAGATTTTCACGCGCGGTACCACAAGAAGGTGACAAAGTTTTCAAGCGACTTACCTTGAGTGACAGCTCTCCTGATGGGCCGATGCTCAAAAGGGGTTTGTAAGGTTTGGTTGGGGTTTTTTTGGGGGGTTTTTTTTTGGTGGAAAGGGGATCTCTGCCCCCCTGCATTCCTATTCTCTTTCTCCCCCACCCCTCGCGTGTGCCCGTGGCATCCGCCGGAGCTGAGCATCAGCCTCCTGGCATTCAACTGCAACCCTTCAGCACAGATTGATACACCACCCCCGCAAAAGAAACCAACCCACCCCTCATCCCCGGAGCAGGCGAGGGGTCCGAAGCCCGTTCCCAGCCCCGGGACCGGCGGCGGAGGCAGAAAAGGGCATTTCGAGAGGCAGCAAGAGTTTTTCGCCGATTTCTTTTTATTAAAGCACCCCCGAGCCCGTGTTTACATTGCGCAGTATAAACATCCTGCCCGGGCCCGCCGAGCTTAAAAGAGCGCACGAAGAGGGGGTTTAAAGTGGGTGAAGCTCCGCGCTGCGCGGAGGCCGCGGTCGGGCAGAGCCTTCCCTCCGCTCCCCTCCGCCTCCCGCGGAACCTCCGCGCTACCCTCAGGCCCCTTCCACGGCCCTCCCGGGGCCTTTTCCCACCCTCCCCGGGTGTTTTTCAGCAGAAGTGATGGTGGTGAAGAGGGGGAGGGAAGGTGGACAGGGATGGAGCCCACGCAGCTCCGCGGTCACGCGTGGCACATCCACCTCCCCACGCACACACATAACCAGGGCAGGGATGAGCGTGGCAGCCCCCGCATCGGGCAGGACGGCGTGGAAAGGGCTCTTTAAAAGCTGCCCAGCATCTGGGAGCGGGGGAAGCGGAGGGGGGGGCCGGGACAAGGCCGGCGGAGGAGGGG